GGGGGGGGGGAAGTTGGGTAAAACAAAGCAAGAACCAGCTAGGAGACCCGGTGAACAACAAGCACGAAAACCAGGAAAACCAGTTGAACTAATTGCGGGACGGACCATTATTTTTTTGAAGGCGAGGGAGGGGGGAGGGGGTGGGTTGGGCAAACTTCTGGGGCATTAATTTGTTTTTCTCACCCTCAGGTAATGTATGACTTTTTATTGGTGGGAAATAGCTTGTGCAAGAATTGTTTTAACATCAAAATCAGGACCTGGATCGTTGCAAACGCTTGATATTTTTCCCATGGCACCCCTTGCAGGAATTTTATTTCCAGCAGTTTTTAATGTACAGAAATTTNTTTTTTTGGGGGGGAGGGGGGGAATTTCACTCCCCCCCTCCACCTCAAAATAATGGTCTGTCTCTAAAAGAACAAAGACGAATAAAGACGAATCAGGTGTGAAGAATGGGGTGCCACAACAACCCGTGAAAAACCATGTAAACCACGTAATCAAGTGCACAAGGTGAACAAAGGAACCAGGTGCAAAAAGCAAGATCCTCTTCATTTATCATTTTATTTCATCATCACGTGAAGTTCATTTTGTGAAACTTGAAAGTGAATTATCCAGCCTCATTTAAAAGAAAATTCATAATGGAATATTCCATCTCAATTTTCCCAAGCACAAAACCTTTAGATTACTTCTCGCACAAAAACACGTCGAAATAGATTTTTACAAAACTCTGTTCAATAACAAGCTTTGTTAAAAAAAATATTTATTGGTTACAAAGCTCAGGCCAATTCGATAGCTTTGCCTCGTCGATCAAAGCCCACAGTAAAATTGACAACACATATATTAACATATTATACCTTTTAAATATTCCATTACAATTATTACATGAAATGACGTCACGTGACACTCAGTCACGTGACAGTTTAAGCGCTTGTCACTTTTAGAGGCTGTCGAGAACATACAAGTCACTCTTTCCCACCTCTCCTTACCAAGTCTGCGAAATTCTCCATTTATTTATGTTGGAAAAGTTGCTGTTTTATTTTGCCCTTATATACCATATACAAGTGTCGGAGCTTAGCGCTTAGCAACATCAGAAGCGTGAAGTAGCACCACCGTCGTTTGTTCCCCCGGATCTTACTCTTGTCTATTGTTGGCACGCAGAAACGGAAGAAACGAGCGCACTTCAGTAAATAGAGTTGAATGTTCGCGGATTAACTTAAGTTCATTTCATCCTCACGCAAAATTCACATGAACTTTTTTTTCCCTTAGCGCAATCTTCGGCAAATGCTCTTTGTTTCTCTTGTCCAAACAAGATCACCGAACGATGAAACGTTTTCTCCTTAGACAGTCACTGCACCATCATCGTGTGATTCCGTTTGAAAGACAGCGTTAAGTTGATCCAAATCACGAGTGTCAACTGCCCTGTGAAGCTCAGATCTGCCCATCAGTGAAAGAGTCATGCGCAGTGTGGACCAAATGTTATCTGACATCGTCGATACTGAGCCTCCTGGCCCAACTGTACCCTGGGTAATTAAAACGAGTAGTGAAGTGGGTCAGTAAATGAAAGTTCCTTAAAAAAATTTAACACTTCAATGTGTGTATTGCACTTTTGTAGGGAACTGCACAAGTGCACATGTGCTGCGCGTTCGACCGCTGTGTCGTTGCTACGACGAAACAATTTGCAACTTGGCAACCACTCTACCTAAAACCGCGGGCTGAAAATATTGTTTAAAACAGAATTTTGTTCTAAAATGGTATTAGTCGCACAACTCGTGTTAAATTAAGGCAGCTAAACTGTTTTGCTACACTTATTTCGTATTAAACGCTGCAAATTGCAATATCTATTGTTCTTCGTTTTCTTACTCTGTCCGCAGTAATTCGCGCTTGTTCAAATTCCTCC